CCTCATTCCCAGCCACTACAGTTAGTGACATACACTATCTGCAATGCATACAAATGGTGTACTTAATCTCTCAGTTCTCCTCATTCCCAGCCACTACAGTTACTGCCAAACACGATCTGTAATGCATACTAATGGTGTACTCTATCTCTCAGTTCTCCACATTGTCAGCCACTACAGTTATGGCCAAACTCAATCTGCAATGCATACTAATGCTGAACTCTATCTCAGTTCTCCTCATTCTCAGCCACTACAGTTACTGCCAAACACGATCTGTAATGCATACTAATGGTGTACTCTGTCTCTCAGTTCTCCACATTCTCAGCCACTACAGCTATGGCCAAACACTATCTGTAATGCATACTAATGATGTACTTTATCTCCTAGTTCTCCACATTGTCAGCCACTACAGTTATGGCCAAACACGATCTGTAAAGCATACTAATGGTGTACTCTATCTCTCAGTTCTTCACATTCTCAGCCACTACAGTTATTGCCAAACACTATCTGTAATGCATACTAATGGTGTACTCTATCTCTCAGTTCTCCACATTGTCAGCCACTACAGTTATGGCCAAACACGATCTGTAATGTATACTAATGCTGAACTCTATCTCTCAGTTCTCCTCATTCCCAGCCACTACAGTTATTGCCAAACACCATCTGCAATGCATACTACTGGTGTACTCTATCTTTCAGTTCTTCACATTCTCAGCCACTACAGTTATTGCCAAACACGATCTGCAATGCATACTAACGGTGTACTCTATCTCTCAGTTCTCCTCATTTCCAGCCACTACAGTTATGGCCAAACACAATCTGCAATGCATAATAATGCTGAACTCTATCTCAGTTCTCCTCATTCCCAGCCACTACAGTTAGTGACATACGCTATCTGTAATGCATACTAATGGTGTACTCTATCTTTCAGTTCTCCTCATTCCCAGCCACTACAGCTATGGCCAAACACTATCTGTAATGCATACTAATGGTGTACTCTATCTCTCAGTTCTCCATATTGTCAGTCACTACAGTTATGGCCAAACACGATCTGTAATGCATGCTAATGGTGTACTTTGTCTATCAGTTCTTCTCATTCCCAGCCACTACAGTTAGTGACATACACTATCTGCAATGCATACAAATGGTGTACTCGATCTTTCAGTGCTCCTCATTCCCAGCCACTACAGTTACTGCCAAACACGACCTGTAATGCATACTAATGGTGTACTCTATCTCTCAGTTCTCCACATTGTCAGCCACTACAGTTATGACCAAACTCAATCTGCAATGGATACTAATGCTGAACTCTATCTCAGTTCTCCTCATTCCCAGCCACTACAGTTACTGCCAAACACGATCTGTAATGCATACTAATGGTGTACTCTGTCTCTCAGTTCTCCACATTCTCAGCCACTACAGCTATGGCCAAACACTATCTGTAATGCATACTAATGATGTACTTTATCTCTCAGTTCTCCACATTGTCAGCCACTACAGTTATGGCCAAACACAATCTGTATTGCATACTAATGGTGTACTCTGTCTCTCAGTTCTCCTCATTCTCAGCCACTACAGTTATGGCCAAACACGATCTGTAATGCATACTAATGGTGTACTCTGTCTCTCAGTTCTCCACATTCTCAGCCACTACAGTTACTGCCAAACACGATCTGCAATGCATACTAACGGTGTACTCTATCTCTCAGTTCTCCTCATTCTCAGCCACTACAGCTATGGCCAAACACTATCTGTAATGCATACTAATGGTGTACTCTGTCTCTCAGTTCTCCTCATTCCCAGCCACTACAGTTAGTGACATACACTATCTGCAATGCATACTAATGGTGTACTCTATCTCTCAGTGCTCCTCATTCCCAGCCACTACAGTTACTGCCAAACACGATCTGTAATGCATACTAATGGTGTACTGTGTCTCTCAGTTCTCCGCATTCCCAGTCACTACAGCTATGGTCAAACACTATCTGTAATGCATACTAATGGTGTACTCTATCTCTCAGTTCTTCACAATCTCAGCCACTACAGTTATTGCCAAACACGATCTGCAATGCATACTAACGGTGTACTCTATCTCTCAGTTCTCCTCATTCCCAGCCACTACAGTTATGGCCAAACTCAATCTGCAATGCATACTAATGCTGAACTCTATCTCAGTTCTCATTCACAGCCACTACAGTTACTGCCAAACACGATCTGCAATGCATACTAACGGTGTACTCTATCTCTCAGTTCTCCTCATTTCCAGCCACTACAGTTATGGCCAAACACAATCTGTATTGCATACTAATGGTGTACTCTGTCTCTCAGTTTTCCACATTCTCAGCCACTACAGCTATGGCCAAACACTATCTGTAATGCATACTACTGATGTACTCTATCTCTCAGTTCTCCACATTGTCAGCCACTACAGTTATGGCCAAACACGATCTGTAATGTATACTAATGCTGAACTCTATCTCTCAGTTCTTCACATTCTCAGCCACTACAGTTATTGCCAAACACGATCTGCAATGCATACTAACGGTGTACTCTATCTCTCAGTTCTCCTCATTTCCAGCCACTACAGTTATGGCCAAACTCAATCTGCAATGCATACTAATGCTGAACTCTATCTCAGTTCTCCTCATTCCCAGCCACTACAGTTACTGCCAAACACAATCTGCAATGCATACTAACGGTGTACTCTATCTCTCAGTTCTCCTCATTCTCAGCCACTACAGCTATGGCCAAACACCTCAGCCACTACAGCTATGGCCAAACACTATCTGTAATGCATACTAATGATGTACTTTATCTCCTAGTTCTCCACATTGTCAGCCACTACAGTTATGGCCAAACTCAATCTGCAATGCATACTAATGCTGAACTCTATCTCAGTTCTCCTCATTCCCAGCCACTACAGTTACTGCCAAACACAATCTGCAATGCATACTAACGGTGTACTCTATCTCTCAGTTCTCCACATTGTCAGCCACTACAGTTATGGCCAAACACAATCTGTAATGCATACTAATGGTGTACTCTGTCTCTCAGTTTTCCACATTCTCAGCCACTACAGCTATGGCCAAACACTATCTGTAATGCATACTAATGATGTACTCTATATCTCTCAGTTCTCCACATTGTCAGCCACTACAGTGATGGCCAAACACGATCTGTAATGCATGCTAATGGTGTACTTTGTCTATCGGTTCTCCTCATTCCCAGCCACTACAGTTAGTGACATACACTATCTGCAATGCATAAGAATGGTGTACTCTATCTCTCAGTGCTCCTCATTCCCAGCCACTACAGTTACTGCCAAACACGATCTGTAATGCATACTATTGGTGTACTGTGTCTCTCAGTTCTCCTGCATTCCCAGTCACTACAGCTATGGTCAAACACTATCTGTAATGCATACTAATGGTGTACTCTATCTCTCAGTTCTCCGCATTGTCAGCCACTACAATTATGGCCAAATATGATCTGTAATGCATACTAACGGTGTACTCTATCTCTCAGTTCTTCACAATCTCAGCCACTACAGTTATTGCCAAACACGACCTGCAATGCATACTAATGGTGTACTCTCTCTCAGTTCTCCTCATTCCCAGCCACTACAGTTATGGCCAAACTCAATCTGCAATGCATACTAATGCTGAACTATATCTCAGTTCTCATTCACAGCCACTACAGTTACTGCCAAACACGATCTGCAATACATAACGGTGTACACTACCTCTCAGCTCTCCTCCTTGTCAGCCACTACAGCTATGGCCAAACACTATCTGTAATGCATACTAATGGTGTACTCTCTATCTCTCAGTTCTCCACATTGTCAACCATTACAGTTATGGCCAAACACTATCTGTAATGCATACTACTGATGTACTCTATCTCTCAGTTCTCCACATTGTCAGCCATTACAGTTATGGCCAAACATGATCTGTAATGTATACTAATGCTGAACTCTATCTCTCAGTTCTCCACATTGTCAGTCACTACAGTTATGGCCAAACACAATCAGTAATGCATACTAATGGTGTACTCTGTCTCCCAGTTCTCCTCATTCTCAGCCACTACAGTTATGGCCAAACACGTCTGTGATGCATACTAATGATGTACTCTGTATCTCAGTCTCCACATTCTCAGCCACTCAGCTATGGCCAAACACTATCTGTAATGCATACTAATGATTTACTTTATCTCCTAGTTCTCCACATTGTCAGCCACTACAGTTATGGCCAAACTCAATCTGCAATGGATACTAAAGCTGAACTCTATCTCAGTTCTCCTCATTCCAAGCCACTACAGTTACTGCCAAACACGATCTGCAATGCACACTAACGGTGTACTCTATCTCTCAGTTCTCCTCATTCTCAGCCACTACAGTTATGGCCAAATACTTTCTGCAGTGTATACTAATGCTCTCAGTTCACCTCATTCCCAGCCACTACGTTATTGACAAACACTATCTGCAATGCATACTAATGCTGAACTCTATCTCTCAGTTCTTCTCATTCCCAGCCACTACAGTTATGGCCAAACACTTTCTGCAATGTATACTAATGCTAAATTCCATCTCTTAGTTCTCATTCCCAGCCACTACAGTTATGGCCAAGACGATCTGCAATGCATACTAATGCTGAACTCAACTCAGTTCTCCTCATTCCCAGCCACTACAGTTACGGCCAAACACGATCTACAACGCGTACTAATGGTGTACTCTATCTCTCAGTTCTCCTCATTCTCAGCCACTACAGTTATGGCCAAACACGATCTGTAATGCATATTAATGGCGTACTCTGTCTCTCAGTTCTGCACATTCCCAGCAACTACAGTTATTGCCAAACACTATCTGCAATGCATACTAATGGTGTACTCTATCTCTCAGTTCTCCACATTCTCAGCCACTACAGTTATGGCCATACACGATCTGCAATGCATATTGATACTGTCAACATACACTCGCAGCAATGACAAAAAACACCAAGCCAATGATTGATAGAAGAATTTTCATTTTATTGTTACTTTTGTGTCACAAGATCAAAAAAAGAAAAAGAAAGACTTTTGGAGCGACGAAAATATTGTGTTGAAAGGAAGGATGTAAAGATCCAAGCACTTAAGAAAAAGTGATGCAGCAGTATGCCAATCCAGAGAAAATGACAAACAAAAGCCTTTATAAAAGATTCTCGCAATAACACGAGGCTGGAAACTGTACAAGGCTTCTTTGTTTTGACTAAAAGCCCGCTTTCATATGTACACTATCCTAGAGAGAAAAGGTCCGTTTGAATCACCTGCACCAATTGGAACCATTTCGCGGCTGTGCACGTGAAGTTCAGAAAACATGCCGCATGAGTTCAGCTATTCAGGCACAGCGTGAGACCGGACATGCCGACAAGGTGCAGGCCTTATTTCTGTTCGCTTAATTTACAGCGTTCAGCTAACACTGAACGATGGCGAATCGCACATGTGGACAGTTTATGAGGCGCAAACATCTTGGAAAAATACACCGCGTTTACAGTGCTGCACCTCTTCTGCACCTTTTGAAACACATGGCAGGGTTCAGAGGTTGTCAATGCTGCACCGCTGAAACGAATGGCAAAGTGCAGCACCTCGTGAACTGGTTCATGTGGCGCAGGCGAATCGAACGGACCTAAAGAAAAAAGGGTTCTTCCAAAAAAATAATAAAACAAGAGAAGCTACAAAAAAACCAAGTCATTTTCAACCAAAAATGTACAATATGTACACAAGGCACAAGACAGAGAGAGAAAAAGAAAGGCTACAATTCAAATAGAAAGTACAAGGATTTAGCACATTGCTTCTTTACCAAGGATTGGCAGGGTTTGAGCAGGAAGCCTGTTTAAGGCCAGTTTTAAGCACAGTCCGTATTTTATGAGAACCCACCGTTTAATTTAGCTAAATGATGCATGACTCAGCATTGTTAACAATGCTACATAAACGGACAAAAAAATTAAGCCTTTTTCATGCAGAAATAGTGCACTGAGTCAGCCATAAACCTGACATACACCTAACTGGATTGAATGTTTTGTCAATTGCACAGAACGCATTATTTGCTTTTCCAATACTACAACTTGCATCAATACTGTACTTCAGTACAAAGCTTTTGTATTTCAGTACAAAGCTTTTGTAAACACACAAAAAATTTTGTCAGCAATGAAAACTGCATAGACATCCAATGATACAAGATGCTCTAAAATGAAATTTTTTTACACTGTTCATGCAAAGACATGAAATGGATTCAGCAATGCCTCATGAAAAATAAATGCAAACGTTTTTACAATGTGAACATAGTCTCAGCATGATTAAACATGCTGTCGGATTCCGTAAGGACATTTACAGATCAAATGCACTTGGCTTGACATGCAGCACGAATTCTGTGCAGTGGAGTTGCAGTATGAGGCATCCCAGTGAACAGAACACTAGCCCAACCTTCAACGTTCCTACCTATAAAATTTCTCTTACAGGAAGAGCAGTTTCAACTGCACTAACAAAACACCTTTATCCAAATGGTTGATTGAGCGAATTGGTGTTATATGAAATATGCACTCATTTTTTCAAACCCTTAACCCCACATGGTCATACATGAAAGCAACACGGCACATTCACTAAGACCAGCCAAAGTTGTAGACTAGAAGCTGTTTCTACAAAAAAGTGCACAGCTTAAGTCAACGCCCGTTTGAGTGTCCCACAGTTCTGCAGACACATGCTGTCAGACAGCAGTGAATTTTATGAAGCAGCAACACAGCTGTCATGTTGTGCCAAAATGCATAAAAACCTGAACCCCCTCTTGGGAATTGAATATTATGGCTAATAGAAACATTAAGGCACCTTAAGGAAATAGTGACAATTAGCTGACAATGTCTATGCAGTGCACATCCACAAATATCTACGAGACACCTATCGCGTTTTTACACTGTAGATTCACGAGTAGAGAGACGATTGTAAACATTACATGCTTTCAAATGCTTAGTAAAATTTAAATAGCTCTACCAAAGCATCAACAGATTGAGGTATCTTACTCATTAAGTTAGTTCTTGTTCTCCCATGCTTACGTTCAATTAAGAGCAGAAAGCTTGTCCCAAGAAGACGTGCGTGCCAAAGAATGCATGAACAGAGAGGTGGAAATGATTGCAAGTCCTGATGCATATTTTATGCACGACGGATGATGGGTGAGAAGAGTGACAGAAAAAAAGAGTGCTCTAAGACAGTGTGAGTGCAGCAATAAGAGGAAGTTGCAATTAAATAATAATTGCAGCATTTTTAACGGTATTTTTTCTTTGTACTCCATCTAAAAATTGTCGTCCTGCAAGCATTAACAAAAAACACTAAAAGCAAGGTGTCGCACTTTTCGAAGTAACCAACGAATGAGTAGTCAAAGTTGATTGCCTCATGAATATACTGGCGCAAAGAATTTTTCGAACACACAAGCAAAGTTACAAGGATTTGTCACACGCTTCAAGTGTTTTCACTCTTTTTGCCTGAGCGAGTGCATGGGGGAAGTATGTCACGGGGGCAAGAAGCTACATCCATTTGTTAGCCTGCATAACGGCCTTGCGCACTTTGATTAAAACGCGCAGATTTTTGCCCTGTAGAGCCCAGTGGGGCTGTATGGGCATGTTGCGATCCGTTGACAGAAGAGCGAGCACACGAGATGGCCTTGAAATTTCACTGCAAATTCCATGCAGCATTATACTGCTTCGCTCTCACGAACCGGCAACACTTTCTGACCATGTTCAAGAAAGGGCACTTTGTATTAGACACAAGCTTTAACCTGTTCCCATTTTTCAGCAGCGTCCAAGAATGAAGTATCTGTAGCACATGCATTTTTGGTTTATACAAACATAACCAGTGGTTGGTTACATAGGGCTACTTCTTTCAGATGCCTAGCCCTAAAGTCTGATCTTGTGCCAGTGCCTAAATGCAAGTAGTTTTCTAAGCAGTGCAAGAATCGGACACCAAATCGGAGCCACACAACCCGAATAATCTCCTTTTGAAGTTCAAGCATGAGAGCACCTAAAGCTTGAGAAAAACGGGTAAGAGCATTGTGCATGTAATAAAGTAGGCATAATAGATACGTGGAGTGTAACATCTCAAAACCACATAATTATGAGAGACGCTGCACTGGAGGGCTCCGGAAATTTCGACCAGCTCGGGTTCTTCAACCCGCATTCAAATCTGAGCACATGGGCCTACAGCATTTTGGCCTCCATCGAAAATGCAGCCGCCACAGCCGAAATTCGATCCAGCGACTAAGTACTTTAGCGATGATGTACGCATGTGTTTGGCATAATGAATCTTTTTCATTCTCTTCTGTTTTCCGTTACCTAATAATTTATATCCACAAAAGCGCAAATAAAATCCCTTATACTTAGCTGCAGAAAACCAATCTAGAGGCCCTTGATTGATTTAGGATATGCTGCTTTTAACGCTGCCTTTGCAGCAAAAGAAAGGTACAGGAGTCTTGTTCCAGCCTTTTCTGGCAACCTTGTTTAAAGGACCTGTCAGGTACAAATTGCCATTTCTTCTTAAGAAGCATTCAAATCTGCCATAGGGGCATATGAAAAAGCATGCTTTAAGAAGAAAATTTTGGCAGAGCTGCCAATTTAAACACTCAAAATGTGCGCACTTTCCAAGCTGCACAGAGCCGCTCATTACTGATATTTCTCAACTTAGTGTGATTTAGAAAAACAATAGTGAACTATGAAAGCCAATGGTGTGAAACAAGATGCGCTGTAAATGGTGTGTCAACCTGACTTGAAAAGAGTTTCATCGCAATTTATTGTACTTGAGAGTTGTAAGGCGACAGCCATGCACCGGCCTGCCACTCAGTTGGTCTTTGTGACTCGAATGGCGCAAAATAAATACTAGACAGTGGTAGTCTTCATGAGAGTGCACGAACTAAACTTGACCAGGTCACATTGAAGAGAGGGATGTTATTACGTGCATTACATACTGAAAGCATTAAAAAACAATATACTACTGTTTCTACACATTATGGCCAAAGCTTAGAATGATGTTTACATTATTCAACATGAGAAACAAACAGCTGTTCAATGAAGTGTGCAGAATGACACAATCAGCCCACCATACCACTAAATTTATAAAAAAAAAAACATTTTTCAAGGAGGGTAAAAAAGATTACGTTGACAGAAATGTCCACATTGTTGCTGTAAAGAAAGCTGCAAAATAGGGGTGTGCAAACAGCAAATTTTTAACTTTGACGCAAATTCATAGTGCTAATCAAACTGAAAATTTTTAAAATATATAGAGCACCATTGACTTTCGCTGTATTTTTTTTCACCAACCATTAGAAAACTAAGTTCAGCAAATAAAGCACATACACCTCATGCATTGTACAACACTGCTTCTCAAGAAAAGGTCAACCTTAGTGGTAGTGACGGTGTTTGGCTGCTTTCCTAAAAGCTGCGGGCTTTATCGCTGCTATAGCTTGTGTACTGCGCAATGTCAGTGCTTGTTAAAGAACACCAAATGATCTAAATTTTCAGAGCCCACATAACTATAATAAAAAAGCACTGACACAAAAGTTTGAAGGCGAGATAATGAATGAGATAGATTCATGGAGAGATATGCACAACATATATGAAACGTCAAAGGCAAATATAGCCCAGAGCATATTCAAAGTCAATTTTAAAGTGCACCCCGTACGACTGAGCGAGATGTAGAGCCCCTCGTGATGCAAATAACCATGTGGTGTCAGCATAAACAAACCTACGTCCAATAGCATTTTGACTTGGGCAAGTTGGTACATACTCGGATAGGTTTAGCATGATTTAGATGAAAACAGGGAGACACAAAGAACACAGGCAAGCGCTGACTTTCAAGTTGAAAGTCAGCACTCGTCTGTGTTCTACATCACAAGTTTGTGTTGGCTGGTCAGTGCAGTGCCACGTCACAGTCTTGCACGGTCACATGGCCGACTGTGTTTACCTAGTCACCAGGATTTCTCCTGCCTAGTTCGGTGCTTTTTGAAATCAAAACTAAGACTGGGCACTCTGACAATGTGTCTAAGTAAACAACAGTTATACAGTTGCGCAAACGAGGTTTCCAGCCGTAAAAAGCGAGCCATAAGCTATCTATTGCACACACTTTTTAAAAAAAGCAAGGTACGAAAGCTCTGTGTCAGTGCTGCTTTAAGCAAGAGCCTCAGATGCGTCAGCAAGACTGGTGCAAAGCGTAATTATGTAATGATGTCTACACATCATCTTGTGTATATGAGTGTGCAAATTGCAAATATTCAACTGTTTTTGCAGTTTGTATGTACTTTTAAATATCAAATATTCCATGTGCTTTTTGGGAGTCATAGCCTACCTTAACTAAAAAAGTTCCAAAGTAACAAGCACATCAAAACAATGTTGAATGCAAAATGCAAGAAAACAACGGATGGTGTAAACTTGTTTGAAACAGATATGATATGTTGAACATTTGCCAATGAGTTCACGTCAAGCTGGGATTCGTCACAAATATTCAACATTTGTTTGGCGGGCTTAAAACATCCATTCTTGTTTTATTACTTTCTGTGTTCACTCGAGGTCATTCTGATGTGCTTAGCTGGCGTCTCTCATAATCAAATGGTGGTTTTGGGACGTTAAACCCCACATATCAATCAATCATGATGTGCTTAGCTAGTTCGTAATCTCTTTAGTTTAGATAAACTATGGCTCCCAAACTGGCACACGGAATCTAAAAACTACACATTGTAGTAGGAAAAAACTTGCATTTTTGAAACCTGCACACTATAATAAACTCAGCGAGTAACATTGAAATCTATAAAGAACATTTTAAAGCCCCTACAACTTTTTGTAATTCTAATATGTTAAACCTTAAAATTACTCTATTTCCTTGCATACAACTACATCCCTACAAAAAAAAAGCTCTTTTGAGCTCGTTCCCTCCCACCACCCTTTTAAGGTGGGTTATGTACAAGAAGATAGGGTAAATTATATTAGTACCACACTTGCAGCTCCTTGACATTTTCACGGAGGACGAATAGTAGCTTGGTATTTTCGGGAAGCAATGACACCACATTGCCATTCCCGAAAACATCACAGGACTCTTAGTGCTGATCTCGTACTTGCAGTTTATTCCTGGTTTAAGCAAGCTCCTTGAATTCGGAGGGCACAATGTACACTGCAGCTGATTCATCATAATCTCCCCAACTGTTGTGGTGGCTTTGTTTCATTATATTGTGGATAATCTATAGTAACAATGTGCTCTACCTCATACACAATGCTACGCTATGACCACTACACTTGAATACCGGTGAAATATCTTCAAAAGCTCAGTAAGTGAGAGAGGGGATGTGGCAAATGAAACCAGTTTGTCTACTTGTACAATAAATTTGGCATAATATAGTGCAGGTTTCTTCCTGCAGCTGATCGGTGTAGTGTTTGCGTTTTTCTACGAGTAAAAGTGTCTTGCAAATCGATTTGCACAGTTTAGGTTTCAACTATTTGCACACCCCTACTGCAAAGGCCACTACTAGCTTAGCTCCCAGTGTGTGGTACAAGGTGCATGACACTGCAAAGACAGACTTTTTCATAAGGTCTTCGTTATCGAAGCAAGCAATAACAGCGAGTCATGAAGTCAAATACTTTTGGTGTCTGCCCTCACTAATATGTGTTTACTTCAAGCTAAGAATGGGCAACATCGCTGCCACTTGATCATCGCTTTCTTTACGCAGAATGTACCAGCTGGCTGCAAATCCAAATTTGGCACGTATGCACAGGCACACTAACAACACATCAGGTTTCTCTTAGAAGCACATTCACTTGCTTAACACAACACCGGCAGATTCGAAACTGTTCAAAGCCTTACACAGCTCAATCGTATTAAGTCCTGCCTTAACGCTGCACCAGTCTACACAGTGATAAAACATTCTTCCAGGTTTCTTTCCTTAATGGAAAAAGTGAGAAGATAGGCACTTTAAAAAATCACTGCAATTACAGCAAAAGCTGATTATAGCGAATCAATTCTCTATTAATCTTCAAATGAAAAATATAAGAAAGAAAGATGATGCTTTGTCCAAAGCTGACCTAACTCTTTCCTATCACGAGAATCGAGCCACTTGCTACCACAAATGATGACAACATCATGAAATCTTTCATGTCAGGCACGACTGCCATTAATGATTGAATTGATTGTAACCGCCACACTTCCTGTGTCACCGCAGGCGAGCTCTTTGCCTGCATCTCAGCTTAAAATGTGAATCCTGTTCCAAATGCTCATACGATTTGGACGGGCTCCAACAAAGACGTTATTGCACAAGGCACAAGTGCTGTGTATCAACTGAAGGAGAGCCGCTAATCACGAAATCTTTGCACAGCAAACCACACTTATACACAACCACACTGGTTCTACTTAGCACATGTCAGCTGAACCTGTGGCAAAACAACCAACAAATAGACATTGCCCCACAAGAATTATTGCTGCCTAGCATGCACCCGAGACAAGTTCCTCAGGTGCCTTTGTTTGATCAAACAAAAATGTCCGCCAAATTAAGCGAGCAACTGCTTGAAAGAGCTTCAATGAGGACGTGTGAATGCATTGTTATGATGCACAATGTCCCAGTAATCAAGCACATGCACTCTGCAAGGACAGTATTTTGATTTGCTAATAATATTCAAATTGTTAGATGTTTTTCAATTCGAAAAGTACTCTCCTAATCATAAAAGGGTCAATGAGGAATTCGTAGGTGCACACGCATCCTTTTAGCCATCTCCACAAGACATTGTTCACCAAGTCAGGCCACACTTAGCGCTGTGAGTGGGATGGGTAAGGAGGTGCAGAAGGGAACCATCCAGAAATCATGACAGATGCTGGCACTCATAGCAGCAAAAAAATTAGCATGCAACCAATATGTAGCTGGAAATGGCAATTAGATGTTCCCCCATACGGATGTTCCTAATTAGGTGTCACAATATTTATTGTAATTATCTAATTTGAAATTACTCATAGCTGTATCATGAGTCTTGCTATGGGCAACTAGAAACAATGTGCCCCACCCTTTTATTTTATTTATTTTTTGTACAACACAGTTATCACATTTTAAAACCTTGATGCTCGACAGCTAGGACACCCCGTACAAAATGTACATGTAACAAGATCAAGCTAGATCTTTAAATATAATTTACGGTGCTTAACTATGTTATAATGAGGCATGTTGCAGTGGGGAAATCGTTACACCTTGGGCTCTTTCAAATGTGCACTTGGGTGCTCATAGCATATCAATGCCACCAAGGTGCTGTGGTGGCCAGGAATGGGGCCCTCAAGTTTAGCAGCAAGCCTTCACTTAGACTTTGTTCACGCTAGATTACATAGGCACACGTGCAGTGGGCTGCAGTGTCATCGCTGGAGTGAGAGAAGGCCCTTTGCTTTTACAGGGCTGAAAATGGCCTCGATCCTGCGGCACCCTCCCAACCCTTCAAAGAAACAACGACACACCGAGACCTCAAAAGAGAACACACGGGGAGTAAAGGCACTCACAAACCTTGCAATTCAAATAAATAACACAAAGGGCTTGGACTCCTCAAGAGGAGAGGTAGCTAGGTGGAAGCTATCATACAAGAGGCAATTATAATAATTAATAATAATAGCATTATAGACAACAAACAACAATGGCGTCTTTCTTATGCCCCCCGTCGAGACATGCACTGGGAAAAAAGAAAAGTCATTGTCCCGGCACACACGTGGCAAACGGCGATGTCCTTCACAAAACCGCCTCAACATGTATCACAGTCCAGCGCATCTTCACAGTGACTAAAAAAAAAATAGTTCCATCGGAGTAAGTCAGTAGAGAGGTGTAAGGGCGGGAACACTTTTTTTTTTAACTGCAAAATTGAAACATAGTCTTCTTTCCCAAGTGAAGTATTGAGACTTGGCCTTGCTTTGCTCCCAACGCAAAAAGAAAGACCTAAAACAAAGAATACACTAACAGCACAGCAACTCTTGAAATCCAGACAGAGCCTTTGACGCAACGCAGTTGTGACATCCTTGTGGCGGTATCCTTTCAGAAAGCATATGATTTTTTTTTTTGATCGATTTAAATGAAGACTGGAGAGGCACCCGTTGGCATTTCGTTTTTTAGATAGGCCAGTCTCTAAATAATGTTGCCTTATTGCAGGTGTTGCCTGACTGCTTTGAACAGATCAATCATTTTGATAATTCACCAGGATTGACAGCAGCCCACCACAACTTTAGCCTGATGTGGTGCATGGGCTATTAATAATTTACACTGTGATGTAGATGGGAGGTTCTTTTGGCAGCACATTTGGAGATCTCTCAAGCACCACCATCCAAAAGACATCTTTGTGGCATGTTGCAATGACCAGCATTTCCCTAACACGTCTGCAAGCGTTACACCTTCTCAATGACTTGTCTGCCAACAGCCCACCCATGTGGTAGCACCAATAGCAATGGCAAGGTAGCACTTGTGACCGAGCACACTTGCAAACACCACGACAGAGAAAATCAATTCCTTGGAAGACTTCCTCGGTCCACGAAGGGTCACACGTAAACCGGAGACCCCTGTCCGTCCAGGCTCTCATCGTTGCTTTGCGATCCCGTGACCCCCAGGGCAGCCCCCGTCCCCGCCCGAACGGGGTATGCCTGTCCACCATCGTCGAAAAACCGCCTAAAGGTGAACTCGAAGAATGCATGCTCCGGATGCCTGCCATTGGGCTCGGGTGCAGGAGGTGTGGGCTTGTCGAGGAGCGTGTCATCGACGGCATCAAAGTTGGATGTGTCGGCCGGGTAGCGAATGTTGGGAATATAGGGAGCCGGCTTGTTTCGCAGGCCTCCCTCAAAGTCAATGGAAGCGAAGAATGGGTGCACCTTGATCTCATCCGCCCCATTCCGGCCAAGCCGTTGCTCGGCACCGCAGCAGAGCCGCAGGATTAGGTCAGTGCTCTCGGAGGACAGCAGAGCAATTTTTGGGATCTGCAGAGTTGTTTCCCAGTTCAGTACCTGCACAAATACCACACATCCATTGTCGCTGAGAAAATCACACAACACTGCATCTTTTCCAGCTTTCCACGATTCTGTATTTGGCTCCAGAGTAGTGCACCTAGTCCTTTGTTTCTTATTCTCTAGGCGAATAATTGAATGCTTCAAATATTCAAATGAATATTACAGTATTCGAATTCACTTCAATTTGAATATAGATTATTGAAAATTTTGAAGTATTAAGAGATGAACAAACAGGTTATAATAGCCCCCATATAAACCCTGTAAAGATGGTTTCGTTGCAGATAAAAGGCGCTAAGCAGTGAAAGCACCTGTCAAGATGTATTCGTTCGAATGTTTGACAGCGGTAAAGGAGTGCTAAACCGTGAAAATACATACTCAGAAGAAAATCGACTATTGTGAAGCTTCACTTCAATTTATCTTTTTTTTTTTTAAGTTTAAAAGGTTGTTACACAGGCTTATATGCTTGAGGTTTAGAAAATTTTAAAACTTAACATATTTTACAGGTTACCACTTGCTTTCTCTCTGACGTCAAATCCTGCTATAATTCAAAGTTGCTCCTACATTCATTGAAAAAAAAAAAAAGATATTTGCACAGGCCTTGTTATAAATTTTAAAAAACGAGTTAGGTCATGACGAATATGCACATTTTTTCTTGTAATATTAGATAAATAGTATTCGATTTAAAATTATTCAATCAAAATGACTATTCGCTTGGAACCTAAAATTTACTATTTGCACAAGTCTAGTATATTCTTCTAGTTGCACCAATTTGTGCTTGCTTTCTTTTCACTGCACAGTATGCCTGAGAGCGTGTGCTTTGAGAGCTTCTCAAGTCATGCACGGCCACATAATACTGCAGGGCACATAAAAAGATGATAAGCTTAGGCGCCGAAAATTGTTACAATTTATACAAAAGAGAGCAACCTCTACTTTCTGGCTAGCTTCTGCCATTACAATGCAAGTAAGTACAGCAAAGGTTCGTTAATGGGGCCAATAAACAGGCTCAAACTTTTTTTACACACCCCAAAACAAGCTCACCATCCGTACAGTAGACGGTAGCGATCATATATTTTTATTATTGCAGCGTTGCAAGCCGCGCAGCCTTCCATTTGGAAAAACAATCCTCGTGCTTCCCTGCTTCTGACCAATCCCTCTAAGACCAGCAGTGACGCAAACGCGCCCATGAGCAACTTGCTGTTCATCGAGTGGTCCTTTGCCCTACGAAACAGTGCTTTGGCCCTGCTGTGATGCAGTTTTGGTCGCGCAGTCCACATTTTCATTTTCCTGTGCTGCCCTCTGCTGTTTTGTAGATCTCAAGACCACCGGAAAAAGCGGTGTTGTCAGCGCGAAAAACTTCGAGATATACAGGCGTCTTTACTGCTAAGGGATGGATGCACCTTGCGCCCTGCCATCATGACACATGCTCATGTGGAAGAAGTGCTGCTTGGTCGTTGGCTGCGCAGCGATGACATAAAGCTAACATCATGTCACACTGCTGGGTGGAGCCGTGACAACAGCTACATCTTCCCCCTCTTTTTGGCAAAAAGGGCAGTGAGGTCGTGTGAAAATTTGATCTGACCCTTGCGAATTCCTTACTATAGAACATATTCACAAAATTCTAGCGGCAGCATGTTCATATAGGAAAAGTATGCATATTTCTCTTTATTACAATTTTTGGACTTCTAGATTGTTTACTGGCCCTGTAAACTAAACTAAAACTAATAAAAGGCCTTACACGATGATGACAGAATTGGAAGCACATACAAAACCATCAGCTTAATTAGGAAAAAAAATTCACAGCATATCCACAAAGTGAATAATGATGAGTGGGGCGAAGTGCTGGAGGGTTTTCATCGCTAAACCATGAACCGTTCGCGAATATTGCCCTCTACATCATCAAAGACGTGACAAACAATGTATATATTTATACAAGAAAGTTTCTTATTTGTAAGTGGTAGCTATACGTCGCTTCCGTTTTCCCTTCCTTGTAATGGCTTTATGGTCGGTGAAGTGGTGGATCGGTGATGGGGCATAGTGGGATGTTTCCAAGGACGAATTAGTGGGCAGTTTGCAAAAGTGTGACTATAGGCGGTCGCTTACAGACAAGGGATGAACACAGTAGGACAATCTATGGTTCTATAACTTTCATATTGGCTACTTCTCAACAGTATTTACATTATGGTCGGTGAAGAGGTGGATTCGTGATGGAGTGTAGTGGGCAATTGGCAAAGGTGGAACTACAGGCAGTCACGTACATACATACAAGGAATGGCAGCCCCAGAACGTGGCTGATCCCTCTGTCTAGAAATCGGTGTACCATGACAGAGTAGCATTCATTCCTTTGCCGCAAGGGCGAAGGAATGAGTGCTAAGGGAACAAATGTTATTGCCTTTTGAAGAATGGCAAGCAGCTCGAAACTTCCAGACTACACCTCAAGCAGGAAGAACACATGAAATCAGCATACATAGGATAAGCGCAGACTAACAACTGTCACAGCTCGACAATTGAGGCGTGCTGCTCAAGCACAAAGAAAGACGCATGAAACGAACGCACTAATACACTCATGATTACCGCGAACAGAGTGCTCACTTTGCTAATGCGGCTGTGGCAGTGAGTGAAGTGACCTTCGTGCACTCTTTAACCACTGTAACTTCAAGGCAAACTTGTGGTGGAACCACAAAACGTACAAAGCGTACAAATCGTGAAATAAGTGCGTACGTACGAGTAACCACGCCCTGTAGAGGCGCAGGTGCATCAAAATGCATAGGGCAACGACACTAGGAGCACCATCTTGCTACTGATGACGAAAACACACTTAAGCTGCTCAGCTCTGAAGACGGTATATGGTGTATATAAATTGCTTGCTATAAGCAAGCTCGCCAATGTACACTGAGTGGTCAAGTAGTTACGCACCGCATGCTGTGGGAGGAGAGATTGTAGGTTCGACACCAGCCAACAGAACTTCTTTCTTTGCAATCTGTTTGTCTATATTTTACACCACATCCATGACAAAAATATTTCAGTGGAGCTGTGGTGAACCCCGAAATAAAACACTTTCATTTTAAAAAAGATTCATTTTCTCAAAAAGTGAACACAATCAGTGCTTCAACTAATTTGGTAATGCAGGTGAACATAACTTGCAAACCGGCAGCTATCGGTGGTTTCCAGTACCGTGCTTGCCATAGCCACTGAACCTGCTTGCCGTGTGGGCTGCTATTTATTTTCTTGACTATGTTCCTTGCTTCGTTCACAGCAGTCCTTGTTTGAGCATTATTGTATTGCCACAAGGACCAGGTGTTCCAATTGGACATGAGATTGCACAGTTGACTTAAAATAAAATAAAAACTCAGCAGTGTGACGGAATGTGGATTCTCTTCGAAAAGCACAAGAGCCTCCGATGTGCTCACGTCTGTCATTGCCATGTGCCTCATCACAGGCACACCAAAATGCATTTAAAGACCGATATTGCCATGCCATGTGTTTGATTGCGGAATCTCATCTGCGCCTGATTATTCGTATAACTTCAACTGCTTCTGTTACATGCACGCCAACAGTTCTTGATTGCTGTTTATGTATGCTCATTGAGCAGTATGTAAAAACACCACCAGCTGTTATTTCTCATTTTGCAGGCCAACTCAAAGTTTATTGGTAATACAAACTCTGACTGGGCACTACTTCAGTGTCTGCATGAGAGAAGTGACAGACCTTCGAACAACAAAAGAAGGTACCAGCAAGCTTTCCATCAGAGCTTTTTTTTTTTTTTTTCATCTGTCTGATCTTGCCAGACGATGTACAATTTTTACAGTGGAGCTGTAAATGGCACACATGCAGTATTTTGCGGGCCCCACAGCAAAATTGAAAACCATGTGACCTCTGCCTAGTGAGCGATGCCATCGATTTTGAAGCATTTTGAATTAATTTTTATGTACGACCCTCTATAAAGCAGTGGAATTGCATCAGAAAAAAGTTACCAAGGAATAATGCAATAAACAAAGCAAAATGAATTTGTTTGGCGGAGCCAATATTGAACGACACAAGAACACAAGACACCAAACGAACAAAACCCAAGGACGGGTGCCACACTCGCAGCTAATCTTTATTCTCGTTAGCTCACACATATATACAGGCCCGTGGTCACAAAAACCAGGTAATACAACGCAAAGGTTTCTTCATGCTTTCCTACTTCAAACAAGATACTTCTTTTTGTTGTAAAGTGGATGAAATGATGATACATAAGTTACTGACAGCCCACTCTAAATATAGAAGGATGGAATAGCCACTTCGTGCTTGGGGGCGGCTCACCAGAAGACATGCAGCCATAGGATTAAGGAAAGCGTTTTTAGACAAGTAGGTCGGCTGGTGCGCGGACAAGTAGGTCGGCTGGTTTCCCAGAACATGTAGTGACCAGAGAGTGTGAAAAGTTAATCGAATCACTAAAGAAAAGAGCGGAGAAAAAAAGAACCTGTTCAATAACAAGAAAATATCTGTAATACCGTATGTGCGTAAGATGTCGCATGGATTGAAAAATATGGCGGGCTGATTTGGAATGAGCGTAGTTTTTAGAAGGATGGAAGCTTGGGAGAGTTTGTACGACACTAAGGAACAAATCTGAAGCACAAAAAACAAGGACCGAAAAAAAAGAGTACACAGGACATGCGCTAGCTTGGTCCTTGTTTCTTGCCCTTCAAATTTTGTTCCTTAAGATAGTTTTTACAGTGTCTAACCAGCTGCAACGAATATGTACACATGTAAGCAAAAAAATTAAGGAGAGAAATGAGAAGAAAACAACAGGATGCGGCATCAATCACCATTCCAAAGCTGTTGACTGCGCCCCAGGGGTGGTGTACAAGCTTCATTTATCTTGAAACGCTCTATACATTGGAGAAACTGGTAGGTGCGTCAATCTAAGATAAAACATGAGGCTGATTCTCACACTGACACCCTTTCACACATCGGTGCATATTGCGAAGAGTGCACGTTTGAAAAAAACTAGCATC